CTTCCTGGCCATTACTTTGCACCCAGCAGTCAGTCAATCCATAAGAGTTTTCTCAATTCATATATTTCTTCTTACTTATTTAATAGCTATATCTCTGTAGAAGATGCATATTGATTTTGCTGTAATAAATCATATTCTCTCCTAAAGTTATTTTATAATTTTAAAGATACCTAATTTTAATCTTTAACAATTGTTAATCAAAAGTGCCTTTTGGCACCTGATACTCTAATTACTTCTGCCCACAATTTCTGTCAATTAAGTGTTTTTCAAGCTGGTGTTGATTAGAGAATATGAATAAACATTTTGGGGAACATTAAAGATAACATCTATTTGTAAAATCTCATGAACCTGGTAAATTTGTTTTGTGGTTTTCTTAAATCCTGGTATTATTGTATGAAAAATACTGGTATACACCTAGTAGGAAGGCTCAAAAGACCTTATTAGGGGTGGGGAATCTCTGTAGAAGGCTCATGAAACCATTTGGTAAATGATTGGACACACGTACTTTCCCTTGTTTATCTACTACCTTACCCAACTCACCCTTGGCAGAATAAGATTCCTCACACCAGTGAAAAAGAACTAAAATCCCTAGATTAAAGATGAGCCAGGCCCTGGTTGCTCACACCTATAATCCTAGCTACTTAGGCTGAGATCTAAGGATCACGGTTGGTTCCATGTTAACTCTGGCAGAAAAGTCTGAAAGATTCTTATCTTCAATCAACCAGCAAAAAGCTGAAGTAGGGGTGTGGCTCAAGCTCTAGCATGTCAGCCTTGAGTAGAAAAACCAAGTGACAGCTTGAGGCCCTGAGTTCAACTTTGTGTACTGTTGCACACACATGTGCGTGCACACGCACACATGCATGCATGCATGCACACACATGCATGCATGCACACACACACACACACACACACACACACATGAATGAATGAAAACCATGTTTTGTTTCTGTCTCTTTTCCTCAGTTGGCTGCAGAACCCCTAAAATGTATATCATATAAAACCCCAACATACTAGATAGAATTGTTCCGATTCTGATGGAAGAATACCCACCCTTCTAGGTCTCTAGGACTCAAAATATGCCTATAATAATATAGTTTATCTTTGCAATCTTTGCCGCAGTCAAATGATAACCTTTAGACCCTCAAAATGAAAAGAACATTCAAAGGTAATAAGCAAGTAGACAATACACTGTAGTCCCACATACATTAAGCATAAAACAACTCCTTTTTCTCCTTTTCTTACTTGACATTTCCTTATTCTTTCTCTCTCACCTATGCCTCAGGCCTAGTTATAACACCACCACTGCCAAACAAACATAGGAAAAGCTTATTAAGGCTGAGAATGTACCTGGACCACAGAATATTTGGATGAGGTAGGGGAAATCAGAGTATAATGGTTCTTTGATCAGTCCAAAGTATTTATGTCAGAACATGCAATCAGGTTTGAAGAAAAACAAGGAGCCAAGGGATGAAAGAGGGTAATAATCCATCTTTGCTCACCAGTTACAGAACATATGTGCAATACTGCTAAATATAAACAATTGGAATAATTGGAATAATTTGGAATAATGCACCCTTTCACACCGATGACAGTCCAGAAGGTAGAAGATGTTGTTTGGACTAATGCTCTTAGATACTGCTACTACTATGCTCGACATGTCTCAAATCATTCTATGGCTGAGTTCCTATCTAATAAAATTAAAGTTGTTTTCTATATGCTTTGAAGGTTCTATCAGGCACCCATCATAACATCTCACAATTTCTTCCTGTTCTTGATTCAAAAAGAACCAAACATATTCCTAAAGGATTTTCTTTATTCATTTTACTTGTAACCAGTTTTTAAGAGTTCAGTACAGCACTTTCCATTTCCAAATAGTACTTGCTGACTAAAGAACCAAATATCAGCCTTCTAAAAATAGTTTAGTCTTTAAGTAAGTTAGTTTAAAGATTTCATGCTCTGATATTGACCTGTCACCAAACAACAGAGATCTTTATTTTTGAAGAACTGAAGCTCAGTCTAAAAATAAATCTTAATATAAATGTAATTAGTATCTTAAGACTCCTCCCCTGTGCTAGCTTAATTAGTTATATTCTAAACTGTCCTCTTCAATTCACAAGCAAGTCCAGGAAACCATCCACCTTTAACTTGTCAGCAAGATATTTACATTCAGCTAATAAAGGAATAAAGGTCAGTTTGCTAATTTTTGCCTTGCATAGCTCAGAATTATCTTTATTCTTAAGGAATTTTCAATGTAAAAGACAATCCAGAAACCAGAACTGTGCCAATAATGAATACAAATGTTAAAATTTTTATTATTAGCTACCAAAATTAGATTTGTAATATTGTTCTTTCTGTTCACTTAAACAAATAGAATGAAGTATAGATTCTTTATCTGTTGCTAAGCATCTTGATTTAAATATGTACTATCTTCAGGAATAAGTCAGATTCATGGGAAAGGACTCAACAGAGCCCAGAGGCATGAAAGGAGTTATGAAAATGGAGTCACACTCAATTTTGGTTGTACTTTTACCTCTTTCAAGTACTCCTTCTCAGTTTCTTATTTAATCAGCATAAATAAATTATATAGTTTCTTTTACTGTTTACTTCCCTTCAAAACAAAGATTTTGTCCCTAGTTGTCTTTTATTTCCGTTGTTTTCCTTAGTAAATTCATTAATTTACATGGTCTCAATTACCACCTATTTTAACTTTACATTTATCATTTTCAAGTTTTTAAAAATAGCTATTTTATTTTATTGTCAAGGTGATGTACAGAGGGGTTACAGTTAGATGAGTGAGGTAATGAGTACATTTCTTGTAAAACAGTATCACCTCTTAATGTATGTAATTTTGGGCTTTTTCCTAAGGTTGACCTGCCCCTTGTAGTACCCTGTGAATTGTTTTGTCTAGATATTCTGCTAGCATCTCAAAGTTAGCAAGTCTATAACTAAGACCTTCATTTCCTTTAACAAGATTTCCTGATCTCCTCTACCTTCTGTTAAAAGCATTATCATTTTTCCATTCCTGGCATCATCCTTGAATCCTATTCCTTTTTTAACTTCTAATAACTGATCTGTTGCTGTCTTGTTAATTCCATCTCACAGTGTCTCTGGCATCTTTTTCTCCCATATTAGCATTGCAACCATCAATTCAGTGAGACTGCTATTTCTGTTTACCTAAACTATTAGATTGACCTCATAACTAGTTGGTATTTACTGAATAAATGATTGAAATGAATGGTATTCCTACTTTAGATCTCTCACCTATCTTTTTCAACAGGACCAGATTAATTACCCAAAGCACACCTCTAATCTTACTAGCCTACTCAAAATAGAAGTTCCTATTTTCTACATAGTTATTTTGTTTTTAGTTTAAGGTATTTCAAATTGGGAGCTGTCTTTTTTGTCTAAAAGAAATTTACTGTATAAAATTATTCATAAACACACAGATAAAAAGTACATTTCTAAAAAGCATATAATTGACAATAATACTGATTAATGTGCTAACATATGAAACACAAACCTGTAAGACACTTTGAGAATAATTCATACACCTCTCAACTTTAGATGATGCAGAGTTCTATTTGTCTAATCTGACTTCCAGCTCCTTTTGGGATATTTTGCTCTCACAGGAGCCAAGAGGAACTATTCCTTCTTCTCTACATACTCTATGCTTATACCTATAACAATCCAAATCTGTCAAAGATGCCATCTCTAGCAGGACCCTGGTGGCTCATACCTGTAATCCTAGCTACTTGGGAGGCTGAGAGAAGAAAGATTGAGGTTCAAGGCTAGTCTGGGCAGAAAAGTATACAGAATTCTATCTAAAAAAACAACCAGCAAAAAACCCAGCTGGAGGAATGTATCAAGTGGTACAGTGTCAGCCTAGCAAACACAAGGCTGAGTTCAAACCCCAGTGCTGCCAAACAACAACAACAAGATGCCATCTTCTCTAAGGAATCTTTCCGGCTCTTTTCACAGCTGTTCCTCCTGTCGTTTCTCTGAAACTCCACAACATGCAACTGGTATTCCTTTAAATCATTTATGGCCTACATGTATTAGAGCACTAAAATAAAACTGGCCCTGTGTGATTTACAAGAAGAGAATTTGCTTTATTCAGATTTGAATAAAATAGTGCCAAGAGCCATACTACGTATATGTTTTCAATATGTTTAGGGTAGGGAAAAAATGAGTAAATAAAAGGAAATAGACATGATATAAGAAATGCTAAGATCTGAGTCCTAACACAAGATCTTAAGCAAACACTTTCAACCATACTTTTGAAATCTAATTTATTGTCTTGTGTTACTGGGGGTGGAAACCAAAGCCTTGCACATGTTAAAGCAAGTCGCTCTATTTTTATTTTAACATCCATATTGTTTCTTTTGCCTGAAAAGATATTGTTCTAAGCTTATAATATGTTAATTCACTTACTCATAATAAAAAGCTTATTTTACAAATTAGGAAACTGGCTTGCTCAAGGTTTCAATTTTCCTTGAAAATTTATAGTCATTAATATGACTGCCATATAGCACTAATAAAAACTGAGGATGTTGCTAAAATATAGAGTGTCTTGACACTAAATATATCCAGCTTTTGTGGTTGCCTTTGTAGTTTTTCATTTGATATTGTTTGCCACTTATGGCTATAAATGTGCCTAAAATGCTTTCATCCTCTTTTCAATTTACAGGGAACCATGCTTAGGAGAAATATGTGCAAAAAGACTCAAGGGACTTCTTTAAGTTTCCTATGTTACAGCCAATGTTTCTGTATCATACACACTGGTTATAGGAGTGAATTCCATTAAGTTGAGAGGATCCAACTCTGATCCAGAGATAAATCTTACATAACATATAATTTCTGTCCACTGAATAATTGTACAAGTTAAAGATCATAAAAGTTAGCCATGTTGCCCCAAAGCAGCTGTGGGTTCACGATTAGAAAATACCATCGTGTTTCTTAGTTATAACAATAAAACTATGAATGTTTTCTCCCATTCTTACCTTTGCACCTCCTAAAAACCCCAGGGAAATGGCAACTCTAGCTCGTAGATCTGGCCTGTCTTTAGGCCACACATAAGAAAGCATTGCCTTTATGATTTTCTGAGTATCAACATCTTTTAACTGTTAAAAGAGAGAAAACAAAGTTGTAAATACATTTTAAACATATTTGAAAAACATATGAAAACATTATGAATATAACTTTTAGCATTATGAATATAACATTTAGTATTATGAATATAACTTTTAGTCTTGAATCAAAGGCTAATATTTTGAAATTCAAGATACTTTGGAGAAAAAGGAACTATTTCAGCTAGGTACCAGTGGTTTATGCCTGTAATCCTAGCTACTCAGAAGGCTGAGACCTTAGGATCATGGTTCAAAGCCAGCCCAGGCAGCAAAGTCCATGAGACTCTTATCTGCAATTAATCACCAGAAAACTGAAAGTGGTGCTGTGGCTCAAGTGGTAGAGTGCTCACCTTAAGCTGAAGAGCTCAGGGACAGCGCCCAGGCCCAGAGTTCAAGCCCCACGACCTCCCCCACCCCCCCCCAAAGCAACTATTTCAATTGCTTCTTAAGGAACTGCTTGTTTCTTTTAAGTTTCTTAATATCACCTAGTCAACCTCATACTGCTTGAAAAGCTATCAAGTATTGGCAAAGAGGACATGTACTATACATTTATTTTTTATCCAGAGTTATATAAGCCTTAAAATCCTTTCTATATTTCCATCTCTACAGTCAGATTCAGAGTATTAAGTCCTAATTCATGGTAAAAAGTTATAATACTGTGTTTAGGGAAGTAAGACATATTGGTATTTGTTACAGAGGTGAGACTATTATATTCCTATTAAGTCTTTTGGTTTGTGCTTCAATTTTAGAGATAGGATATTAAATAATCAAACCCACATTTTCTAAAATTAAAATAATCAATACATACTCTAAAACTACTGTATTACAGTTGGTGATACAATCTCCATTCAAAAAATTGAAATATTAGCTCAATTTTTTGAAAAGTTATTAAAAAAAAGATAGTGTTCTTTGCCAATGAGGGTATATAGAAATGAACACTCAAGTATATTATTAGTGGGGAATGCTATGAAATAATTTTCACAGAAAACAGTATCTATTATGAGCTTTTAAAATAATTCCACTCTTTGTGGAATTATTCCATTTGTGAGAATTTATGCTTTAAAAAATCTTAAAATTGCATCCAAAATTGAATCTATTTTACCCCTGAAAATCTTTTGAATTTGTCTATTTTGTAATTTCAATCACCAACATAATCTAAACTATTATTAATTCCCACTCACTGCAACAACCTCCTAACTGATTTCTCTGCATACTGTCTGTTCCCTGTCTAATAATAATTTATTCTTACAACCAGATATCACTTCTAACTTAAAACCCTTAAGCAACATCCTATCTTTTGGAGTGAAGACCAAGGTCTGTAATGTACATTATTGTTTGGCCTGGCCCCTGTCTACCTTTCCAGCATTGTCTTATACCACTGTCAGTGCTCAGGCTCCACTGGCTTACTGTCAGTTCCTTGAAACATACCGAAATTCCTTTTGCCTCAGAGCCTTTGCATAATAGTGTTTTGTTTCTGTCTAGAATTACGTGTCTTTCTAATATCTCAGCTTCTCTACCACCTTACAACCTCTTTCAACTAGTTAACCCACAGCTTAAACAACATTTCCTCAACAAAGTCATCATTTTCTCTTATAGATCATATTGATTGACACCTACTTTCCTGCTAGAATTTAAATTACATTTGAGTATTGTGTTTTGTACTCACAGCTATAACCCAATCCTGTAGTAGCAGTAGCTAACATAGAGTAGTTAATCAATAATAAATGAAATAAATAAAAAGTAAAAACTTGGCTATAACAATGTTCATGTTCATGATGTTTTAATATAAACAAAATTGAAAACTGCAAATGATCAACAATGGAGGCTAATATAAACAAATAAGTGTGAATGCATAAAACAAAATGAACACCATCCACAAATATACAGTGACTCACAAACATATTCAATAAATAAAGCAGAGTGAAAAAACATCTTTTGTGGAAGAAAACATGATGTGTATATAAGTTTACACAACCATACTATAGATCTGGAAAATAACAGTCCCAAAGTGTTAATGACAGTAGGTGTGAGTAGGTAGAATCTCTGAAATTTGTTTTTACTACTGCCATTGCTTGCTTATATTTAATGTAATTCACATATAGTAAGAAAAACATGTAAGCTAGGGGCTTAGCTCAAGTCGTAGAATGCCTGTTATATACGTACAAGGCCCTGGTTTCAATCCTAGTTCTGCCCCCCAAAAAAGTTTCAATGCTTCCTAAAAGGAGGAATGTTACACAATTTCAAGTAGATTTGCATAGAAAAGAATAGAGAAAACTGTCAACATGCAAGAAACCCAGGACAGCACATTATATAATTCAGGTATTTTTATGTTATAATTATCCCCATAGGGCTCAGGAAACTATTTTGTTAATGTTTCGGTAATTTATTGTGCCAAGATTAACAGAAATAAAACTGTTCATATTGTGTTGAAAACAGGACTACCATCCTGAGTTGCTTTAAATACAGAAGACAAAAATATAAAATGCTGAAAGTATAGTTCTTCTTAATGCTTTATTTTACACATATACACACACGCACGTGCATGCACACACAGTTGAATAACTGGTAAAGCATTAAAAATGGAATAAGGCAGTAATTTTAAAATTCACTTTTCCAATCGAACGATTACAAAATAAATATAATTTAATGCATTACAACACAAACTGGGGCATTTCAACCACTTTCCCATTTCAGTTTTGCTTGCCTTATTTTTCTTGATGGAATAATGGAAAAAGGCCCTGTTTCCTCATATCTTTAGAAACACTTTTTCCTGTCAAAACCGTCTACAATACACCCCAGAATTTTTTCAATAAGGACACAGAGAAGTTATGGCTAAGAGCAAGAAAATTATTCTAGTTGGCTTAATAGTGCATAAAATGTCACCACTTCATTTAACAAAATGGGTTCTGAAGTTGTGTAATCATGCATTACGAGTCCATTAAGCTATAAAGGACATGACTTCAGTTAGAGTTTAGATAAACTATAAAGTTTGAAAACTAATGTCTTTTTTAAAAAAGTAGAGGCCAAATCAAAGAGATATTTCAGGCCCCAAGGCATATTTTTAAAGAGCTTTAAACCAAATTATTCTTTCTGTACTGATGTAAAACTAAATTGGTAGCCATCATGTAGATCTTAAAAGATAATATATCTCCTTCTAAAACCAGAAGTTATTTCGTTCTGGACAAAATGGTTATCGAATGCTAGGAGAGACCAGACATTAGCTTGAGAGTGACTTGGCATCACCATTATATCAACTATTTATTTTCCCTTTGACTCAATAGTATGTAAACAGATAATACCAATAACAATTCACATACCTCTTTAAGATCACATTCTTTTTTTAATTTTTAATTGCTATTATAAAGGTGATATACAGAGCGGTTACAGTTACACAAGTCAGGTAATGAGTTAAGATCACATTCGTAAAGTAAGGGTGTAAAATGTAGGTAATGGCCAAAGAGGAAGACAATACTTTGGGTTACTTGAAAACACTATGTAAAGAGTAACTGCACCACAGTGCATGGAAAAGAAATCAAGGACTGATTTAGGGAAATGAAGTTTTTGTCTGCCCCAAAGGTCATAATTCCTGAAGTAACTAATGGATAATATGGTTACAGTTTTTCTCTAAATCTTTTTTATATATAAGTAGGAACTGTGAAATTCTTAGAATTTTCACAATAAATTATTAAAATATTTTAAAATATAACAGTGGAAGTCAGATACAGAAAGATCATGAGTCCAAGGCCAGCCTGGGTTACATTTTGAGATGCTGTCTCAAAAAAATAGTGATAATTATATATCTGCAAAAGCTATCCAAAATTGAATGTATAAAAATATTTTAAATGCCTGCAAAAGTAAAAGTGAATCTACTTTCTCCTCTACTACCAGAATATATACATGTAGCCTTCTTAGTTTAAAACTTGGAACTGACATCTCAAGCCCCATTACAATGTAAAACTAGTACTGTGGTAGAATTAGAAGTACTTTTTAGAAATGCCTCAACTATGTATTGGAATTAGACAGCTATAATTAAAGAAAAGCGTGAGAGTCAGAAAAAAAAACATACCAAAGTAGCAAAAGAAGAAATCTGAAAAAGCTCACTAAGATCTTAGAATAATAAAATTTTATTGCACGATTTTTTTCTAGAAATGACATTTAAAGAAAAAGTTTGGAAGTGTCACAGTTGTCAGAGATAAAAATGACTGAAAACAAGGTGGCCCAAGAGAAGGAAAAAAGTAGGTGTCAGTAGAAGAAATTTAATTCACATTGCAAATAATGTTCAATACATACCTAGTGAATTAATCTATTTCCAAACACATGAGGACAAATTCTTACTAATATTCACAGGTTAAAGGATGAAGAAAATTAAGCCTTTCCATGCAGGAATGCTAGTGAAGATTCTTACTGATATTCTTGAAATATACCTAATAACTGACTTATAAAGTCACTATAACCTTTGATGCATTTTTAAATATTTACTTACTAGGTATCAATATATACATCTTCATAAAGCTGAGCAGGTAAGACAAAATAATGAAAATGACATCTACTTGTACACAGGAAGATAAACAGCATGATCACAGCACAGTGGTCCCAAATCAAATATAGCCACACATTGCTTAAAAACAGGAATACACTATGAGAAATGTGTAGTTGGGTGATTTTGTTGGATGAACCTACATGGTGTAGCCTACTCCATACCCAAGCTGTTTTGGCTCCTAGTCTACAAACTTGTATAACATGTTACTGTGCTGAATATTAAGAAAATGTAAGACAAAGGCCACTATTTATATATTTAAAGCATAGAAACAATATAGTTAGAGCATAGTATTAAAAGATTTTTTAATGATACACCTGTCTAGGGAACGTACCATAGAAGTTGTTTTGGTTGGGTTACTGAGTGGACAGTGACTGTGAATGCCTAGGGCATTACTGTGCAATACTGCAGACTTTTAAAATGCTGTATACACTGGTTAAACTACATTTATATGTTA